ACAATGCCGTGTTTGTTCTTGTTCCCAGCGTTAAGGAAAGTTTGACTTCACTGCCAGTGCCTTTAAAACCAAAGTGTTTCTAGTGGATTTGACATGAATTTAAAAGATTCCTGGTTTGGTTTGGTCTGTGCTCTTGGGAACCTGGTGGAAGGTTTTAGCACATGGCCCTGATGCAACCGGGGGGTGGGGGGCATGATGGCTCAGGGGTTAAAGTTGCTGAGCTTGTCATCTGGAAAGCTGATGGCCCAGGTGTTCAACTCAAAAATATTTCTCTACCCACCCTAGCTCTGGTCTTTTAGAGTTGTGAGCAGAAAGGGAGTGGGGGGAGCAATGCATACCTTAAATATTTTCATAGATAAATTGCTAGGCGGGTGAAGCTTCTGGCACGCAAGATTATTACTGGAGAGCATGATTGATGATTCTTGGCTAGGAATGTGTCCCATTGGAGAATATACATCCAGGGGCTGGGGGAAAGTCAAGGGTGAGATAAATGTTGTGTCTCAGTGTCAGCTGCACCCAGGTAACGCCGACATGTTGACTCCTAATAAATGATTTTTTTTTTAAACTCTGGGAGATGAGGCTAGGGACTCATGATTCGAATGGGGGTGGGTGGGTTTATTGTCAGAACCCTGACACCAGGTTTGAGACCCGCAACAGGGTGAGCTCCCGTTGCTTGCTCTAGCTCTTGCCCACTTACCAGTTTGAAAGCATGCAAATGCGAGTAGATAAACAGGTACCCCTTGGGTGGGAAGGGAACAGCGTTCTGTGCGTCTTTGGTATATAGTCATGCTGGCCACATGACCGTGGAAGCATCTTTGGACAACGCCGGTTCCCTCGGCCAAGAAATAGAGATGAGCATCGTGCCCCAAAGCATCAGGCATGACCGGGCAGGAAAACATTTACTTTTTGCCTGCTGCAATGAGGAGATTATTTCGTTCCTTCTTTCTTCTTTTCCTACATGTGGAAACTGGGAAGGATTTTCAGATCAGCAGGCTAATTTAGTTCCTTTCTGTAAAGCGTGGGTATATTTGGGCTGTTCAAGTGTTCCGCTTTTCCCTTGGTTTTACAGGCAAAAATTGTAAGTGTTGCATGGTGCAAAAATGAGCAAGACAGGGTGGAAATAAAAATGTCCCAGGACTTTAAATATCTTCCCCCTGCTTTCCACGAAGGCCCTAAACTGAAATATTCATGTCTGTCTGTCTGTCTGTCTGTCT